ATTGCAAGAGTCAATATCTTGGGCAGAATGTGATAAGAAGTATAAGATGGTTCTGCAAAGCAGAAGCAACAATGAAACCATGTTTATCCTGTAACGTCATCGTATTAGAATTAGACAAACAGCCCTTAGCTTATGCTGGCTATCTACTGTCTGTACTTAGAGAAGTCTGCAATGTCGTAGTTTCATATTTCAAGTAAAAAATTTAAACTCTGTTTAAAAATCCATTTGAGTTAGAATTGAATTAATTCAGCAATTTTTTTTAGGCGGGTAGATATAAGAAGTCTTGGCAATAGCTTTCCCATTAAACAACTTGCCAACTCTCATGTAAATGCAATGGAAAGTCATCAGTAGAATGGGTATACTCTGGTCTCATTGGGAGGGAAGGGAGGCTAGTTGATTTCTTGCAGACACGAAGAAGCAAAAGACTTCTTAGCAATTCCCACAGATGAACCATATGCAGCCCAAGTAGATTATAAATAAGTTGACTATTCAATTTGTTATGTAATTTAGGTCACTTTTAAGAGCAAAGGAGGGTACTAGGAATAATTATATAGGTAAATATACATAAACCGTGACTGTCCCTGAAAATCCAGAACATATGCTTCTTGGATAAGATTGGCTTCCATCCCAAGGTGAGTGACGTGCGAGTAAAGTCATTAGCAATAGGATTTGGAAATTTAACCAGCTTTTCTGTACTGTGTACTTACTTCAGTTTGTTACATGGAGCAGATGTGAATTGCAGAGAACTCTGGGAATCTCAGAAAGCCAGTGTGTGGGGAGCTGAAGGGAGCAACAGCAGGTGGGAGGGATACAGGAAAAGTCTCCAGATTTCTCTGAAGAGAAGCATCAAACACCTGTGTGCACTGTTTCTGCTGACAGGCCCTAGAACCAGACACACCAGTCTGGAATGTCAAGAGCAGAGATAAATGGCTGAGAATAAAAGCTTCAGGCCGGTGTCAAGTCTACCAAATGGAGTTGCAAAGAGCTTCGAGTTCTGCAGGCAAAGGCTATAGACATAAATCAAAGGGCACTCTTCCAACGCTGGCAGTGGGGGAGCCACTGGCCACTTGTCACACTTCAGTGTCCTCAACCAGAGCTTCACACGTGGAGAATAATTACTGTTAGCCCTCAGTCTGTGAGTGACGGTGTTGAGGGTAGGATTTTCCCCAGGCACTGAATGGAGAGGGCTGTACACACTCATGTCTAGAGAAATGATGATGCACTTTCTCACATGTGCTCACTCACAGGATCATAAAGAATCACTTAAAATTTCCCCTTGAAGTGTTCCTTTGCATGATTTATATTGAAGACCTTGTTTCCAGCATATTCTCAGCACCTGGCTATGTACCTGACAGCCTTATATTCCCAACAGAGGAGAAAAATGAAGAGGATTTTAGTGAGCAGCTTTGTGGGGATAAATAAACAGTTAGAGGGCTTATTTTAAAAGATGATCCTAAATTCTGAAAGGGGGAAAAACCCAACATTCTTCTGCAGGCGAGTGCAGGGGAACTAACTGCGAACTCTAAGAAAACTGAGACAGGGTGCTAACACCCCCTCTCTGAGCTTTCAAGAGTGTGAGGAATGGGGGAGGAATGTCCCAGTGGTGGAAGTAGCCCTCTGTGACTGACGGTCAGCAGGCTTTAGAATCAAAGTTTCAGTGCTCCTTTTGATGGATCTGCTGCCTTTGTAAAGCTGGTCTTTCAAGTAAAAGATTTCTTTTTGCTCTTTTCTTATAGATAGTTCTAGAAGGATGAAAATAGGGCTGGGAATTCAGTTCAGAGCACTTGCCCCGTATGCTCTACGCCCCAGGTTCAATTTCAAACACTGAAGAAAAAAATGGAGGTTTTCCATGTGAAGATGCGAAGCATACTTATATTTTGACAGCTACCTTCTTTTGAACTATGGAATTGACGCTGAAAGAAATGGTGTCAAGTTGACATTGGTTTCATGTTTCTTAAAGAAACGTAGAGATAATGGGGCTAACAGTTCTTTTCCATTGACTGTGAGTCCATTTGCATTATGTGTTATTCATTTATTGTATAAAGTTCGGTTATCAATTCATAAAATAATCCTGGAGCTTGCATTATTCACTGAGGCTTCTGATAGAATGAGTACACTTAAAAACAGTCACGTGATTCTGTTCACATACATAAGTAACAGTAGACATAGAAGCCGGTATATCATTATTGCCAAGGTACTCGTCCAGTCTTGAAAAAGTATGAATCACACACTTAGTTCCCCATTGTTTTACAGCATAATTTTTCCCTGTAAATACACAAAAGGGCCTTTAAAATTAATTAATGTCTTAACGTCTGTCAGAATTACTTCTGTTGATGGAGAAATAGCAACTTCTGTGATACACTCACTTTATATCATCCTTCCTTCTGAGAAAAGAATCCTTGGGCACTCTACCATTGAATTCTCAAAGAATTTTACTTCCAGGAACAATAGCCTTTCTGAGGACTCTTCTATCCCTCTTGCTAATTAAAAGTGCAAACCTACATAATTCTATGCTTTTCAGATTATATTTCAAGCAAGTAGACACTTGACCTTCAGTGGTATAGGAAGCACCTCTTCCAATGTGCTTTTATGGGTAGTGCCTTGCCCTCTTGATTAAGAGCAGACTCCCCAGGTTCCACTTCATTTGTATGTTCCCTGTGTGCACACAATTAATGACTGGCCCATAGTTGGAAATTTTAATTTTGGATTTAATGTCCCAAGCTTTCATTCTCTGTTTAAAGAAAAAAGTAATTTTTTAAATAATGTTTTATTCAGAGAGTAAGAGACCAATCTTGATTGATCACTGTGTACTTCACAAAAATGCTGCAGTACTTAGACTAGGGCCTGGTGAGTTAGCCATGACTATAGCATCCTAAGAGATTATTACAAATCTGGGCTTCCAGGGTGCACAACCCAAGGTTGTGTCTTTGGTCCAATTATAAGTAGCAATCAACTGTTCAGTGACATGTTGTGAATTTGTATAGAATCATCTAAGTCTCTAGCCAGATTGATCTCAGAACGTTTGAGATAAATCTTTCCTCTCTCCTTAGAGATGTTCAGCACACAGTTTCTCACTATTGATTTTCTCCACCATGCATATTAACTGTTTCAAGATCACTTGACGTATAAAAAAGATCTCAGTGACAGTTCATTTAAAAAAGAACAGCTTTTCAGAAGAATGCTTGGGAAAAAATCAGTAAAGATACTAAAGTAATCCTTCCCCAATTCTTAGCAGGGTAGTTTATATATTTTGATTAGGGTTAGAGGACAAAAAATAATCGTGCACATTTTCAAGAAGATATGTCATATATTAGGCTTCTGAATGACTGGGCATCTTGAAGGAAGTACAGGATTCTTTTCCACTGAGTGAGGCATCCAGGTGAAAAGCCACACCAGAAGCTCGGCCTCTCTGGGCTTTTGTTATTTATTTTAAAAACAAACCCAAGAGAAACAAAATAAGAACAACAGTAACAATAGAAAAAGAGAGACTTTTCTGGATCTTCCTGTCCTGAACTTCAGTAATCTATGTCCAAAATGTATAGATCATCTGAATGTATATATTTTTATCAACAAGGAAACTATATCAGAAAATAGTAAAATCAATGTAGGAACAACCTGTACTCAAAACAGAGAATGTATAACAAATGTGATTTTCCCCTCTAAAGATTTTCATTCCTGTACATTCTTCTCTCCACTCCATCATTATTGAAAAGGGAAAAATTATTTAAATGATTAAATATTATTTCATTAATTTTGAAGTTGCTTCCTTTTTTCATACCCCTAAAATAGTGCCCATTAACAGGAAATGGCATCAGAAATGCTATATTGATGGTAATTCCTTTTCTGAGCTTCTGAATAAAATCAACAATACCATTATTTTCAATAACGGGGAGGGGCTTCAAAACTAATAATTAAATAATATCACTTTTAAAGTTCCCAGATTAAACAGAATTAAAGTGAATGAGGCCATTTCCATATCACTTGGAGTGAAGATTTATTTAAGATAGACTAAACAAATTACAATGAACCCACTCCATTGCCTTCTTTAATAAAAATTATGACTGGACAAACATCAGATTTTTATTTAAAAATAATAGAAAAGTAAAAATAGATTTCCTAGGGAAATTTCTCCCCTAACTTGTGTGTGTGTACGTGTGTGAGTGTGCGAGTGTGTGTGTGTGTGTGTGCTCGCGAGTACTCGTGTGTGGCACGCGGGTGTTTGTGATATTCTGTTGCTTCTACGAAATCTTTCTTTGGAGTAACTGGATAGCATAGTTTTTGTTTGTGTTTGTTTTTTACTGGATTCATCTGAGGACACTGAATTAGAACTTCAGCTAATTGGTGGGCCATGAGCTCTTATGAACCGTGACAGATTACATGGGCCTTGGAAGAAGAGTAAATGTAGACGAAAGCATGTAATGTAAGTCTTCAATGCCGTGTACCTTTGTTTAAAGAGGAGACAAAAGAAAAGAGGAAAATGCTATGAGCACTCTAAAATCATCTGCAGCACTTTAAAGGGTTAAACCTGCTTAACCCAGTCTTAGTCAGAGAATGGCACCAGAGAGTACAGCTCACCCCTTAAGCGTGGCTAGTTCTAGACCTGTGGTAGCCTCAGGTTGCCAGAGCAGTCATGCGCTCCGGTTCTGCCCCCCTCCCACCCGATTAATAGGATCCATTCATAGCTACTCACTACTGCAGGATTTGACCTGAGAAATGCTAGGATTGATTAACTCAGCAGTCGAGGTGAAAGTCCCTAAATAATCTTTACCCTTGGCCAGCAAGGGAACTGCTAGTCTCAGTTCTCAGAAGCAGCTGGTGAGGTTCTCAGCCAAGTTCTTCAGATGCAGGAACTTCTCCCTGGACAGCCTATGTCAACATGGCATTTACACATCTATCAACCAGGCTTCCTGGATCTAGGAAATGTTATTCCTGACTCCTTTGACCCAGACACCTGCAACCACATAGTTCACAACCCGTAGGTAATCTCTCTTCTTTCCTTTCTAGGAGATGGCGTAGTGGCTATTTTTTTCTAAAACAGTCATGTTGATATGTTCAAAAATCCATTGCTGAGTCTCAGATAGAGGGTCACATCTGGCCATGAAAATCTTCTTCTCTGCGGGGTTGCAGTCCATACAGCTGTTACTCACAGGATGAAATAATGTTCTGTCCTGGATGGATTAGAAAGAAAGGGAGGAGTATAAAATGCATGGGAAATGCTACAGCCCAAAGTGTATACATGTAAAATATGTGTTTATATTTGAATATACATCCAGAGTCTAATTAAGACAGCTCTTGAGTCAAAGAATATTAGAGTTCAAAGGATTCGTAACTCCCCAGACAATTTAATCTGAGACAAAAATTGATTGATTCATTTTTAAAAAGAGTGATTTGCTCATTTCTTGTTTTGGAGTGAGCACTTTGCTGCATGTTCAGCTGCTGACAAGTATAAAAGGCTTCTTCTAGCCATTCAGATAAAATAGTACATTTATACACACACACACACACACACACACACACACACACACACACACACACCCCTGTGCACACACACTGTAATTGAGAGCAAAGCAAATAACAGACACATCTAAAAAAATGAAATTTTCCTTATCTCGCACTGGTTGTCTATTGCAAAAGACAAAAGAAATCCTCATTGAAATGCCAGGCACTCCGCAGTTGTCTTTGGAAGACAAATGAAGGGGTGGGGACAAATGCCACATGGGTAATAGCTGAGAGTAAAACGTCAAATTTGTTAGTGTTCAAGGGTCAGCGTCTTCAGTCCAATATCAATGAATGTTGGAGGAATTTAGGTAACATGTTCTGATGACTCTGTGTAGAACAGAGGAGGTATCGTGCACTTGAAAGCCCATAAAAATAAACAAACAAGCAAGCAAACAAATAAATAAATAAATTGCCCAACTACTCGAGACAGTTCACAGCTCATTGAATAAAAGGTTTTCACTTCCAGGGAACAAAGTTTAAGTCCTGAACAAGCTCATTATCTGAACACACCCCTTTTTATTGTGCATTTGAGAAGGTGAAGCCGAAAGGAAAGGACTTAGTATCAAACACTCACTCCTACGGTGTTTGTGATTGTTCTTAAAAAGTGTCCATGGTCTGAGAAAAGGTCCACACACAACCATTTAAACGTTAGCATCAAGTAATGTTTTAGTATTTAGTTTGGGAAGTGTTTGGGGCTTCTGCGTGTTCTGGTTGCTTTCCTTCAAGGGAGGGACAGTAAAGGTACAGCGCTTTTAGGATTAAGAGTTTCTCAGCCACCCTTTGTAAACATTTATGGGTTCCTGGGTTTTAAGTCTCAATCAAACCAATATTTAATGTCCTTGAGGGATCCGGATGTTTGCATGAGGGGAGAGGAGGAATAAGGAAAGAGAAAGGCAACATGTGGCAATCTGATATGTGTTTCTATCTTTAGTGTAAACAAAGGACTGTAACTAACACAAAGGTTTTTTTATTCTACTCTTTAAAGTCAAAGTTTGGTGTGGATTTTGCTTTCCGAATCCTAGAAAATTTCCTGGGAGACAGCACATTCTAGGAAGATGGTTTCGTGGGCTCCCGGCATCCTCCAACAATGTCTGTGACACCTTGGGCAGCGTTTTTCTTCCTTATCCTTCCATTCCCTCTGGTATTTCTCATCACTGTTCATCCTCGATTTCCAGCAGCTTACCTACATGGATCCAGTATGTTTTATTAGGTTTTTAAACAGGCTTTGTAGTTTTATTATTATTTTTTTTATAATGCTGGGAACCAAATCCATTCAAATTGTGGCCATTCTAGGCAAGTGCCCTACCACTGAGCTGTATTTCAAATCTCTTCAAATAACATTCTTTAATGTTTTTACATTGATTTATTGTGTAGTATGTATATGTGTGCATACCACAGTATGAAGGCCAGAGAACAGTGCACAGGATTCAATTTTCTCTTTCTACAACGTGGATACAATGGATGAAACTCAGGTTGCCAGGATTGGTGGCAAGCACCTTTACTCACTGAGCCTTCTCATGGACCCCTCAAAGACCATTCTTAAACTATAATGTCTAGGACATTTTCTGTATGACCAGCTAAATTCTAACTTGCTCTATTCCACGTACATATACCTCCTTCCAGACTTTATTACTGTCATTTCTTCCTACTACCTTTATCAACAGCTCAGGCCTAAATGCAGACAACCCTAGTTTCCCCTTAAAAAGCATGCATTTCTACAAAACCTAAAGTCAGTAAAGAAAATGAATATTCTCTGATTTCTTATCCCCATCAGCCTGCATATGCTCACATGGACACAAAAGCCAAACTAGATTTCCTAAGTACTCTGAACATTCATTTCTGAGCCATAAGTTGATGGTAGTTTCCCAAACTCTTGTGGAAACACATGTTCTGACCAATACAGGTGTACTCACGAGTACAGTAAGGCAAGCTATTCTAATTAAGTAGGACAGGAACAGCCCAGAATATGTTTCGTGTGCTTGTACTTTGTGTCCTTGTAGGAGTTGGAAAGTGGAGCGATTTGTATCTATCTGCATCAGGGAAGCGGATGTAAAACGAGAGGGTGGAGTAGATGTATCCCAAAGATTTGCCCTATCATAAACTGAATGAGCACTTTGTTCCAAAGTTCACCGGTGACAGAGACAAATGGCAGGGTGTTAACCTGGAAGCCCTTCCTAATATCCACTAGATCAACTGATCGTTCTCTGGCTACAGGCTGAGCTCAGTTCACCCTTGACTTTGGAATGCCCAGCAACCCCACAGAGATGAAGCTTCTGGGAACATTTGCAGCCTTCAACAGAATACACCTTTGTCACTTTTGACCTTGAGGGTGATATAATTGCTAACTATAGGCTTCTACAAGGCCAGGCTTTTGGATTGCTAAATGTCTTTATCTATGTGTTTGCCAGCTGAGATTAGGTCAGTGGAGTGAGTAATCATCTTCTGAATATGTTTCTTCTATCCTAACAACCTTCCTTTCCTCTGCCCTTCATCCCATCAGTCATGGCTGTTAACAGAATAGTTTTTTCCCCTTGTGGAATAGACTTGGGAGTATTTGGAAAGTCTGATGTTCCATGACAACCTTCTGTAAGTGATGACTGATGTTCTGTCTTTGCTTTGCTTTTGGTCCAGTGCTGACAAAAGCCATGGCATATAGCCCTGGTTGTTCAATGTCACCTTTACTTCACCTTGTCTATGATATCGTTGGGCAGGAGATGTCTAAGGATTCCTGAACTGTCCTTCAAAATCAATCAGTGTATGCAGATGAGCATGGGTGGGGCTTTTTTCATAGTTCACTGAAAGCCACACTACTTCAAGGCTGGCCACAGACTTGAATGGCATCTGTGTGATACCTTGTGTGTTCCTACATTTGTACTATACTTTCTTAGCTTCCATATTTACATAGAGTCTGAGATTTAAAAGAATGAGTGAGCTGTACAAAACATTCCAGCCTGGGTGGGGCAGGTCATGAAAAACCTGCATATGGAAGACATAAAGGGAATAAAATAGACATGAGCACAAATACATCACAGGAAGAAGATTCCCAAATCAAAACATGATTCACCTGGAGAGGCAGCACAGTCCGGGGAAAAGGCCTGAGATTTGTGGCTGTATAGGGAGCTGGATGAGTTCTAGTCAGCCACTTGCTCACTGTCTGCCTTTGGAGAAGGTACTAAGTTCTACAAACCCTAGTTCACTTACTTGGAAATGTAGATAATGTACCCGAGTCCGTGATAGGAGGAGGAAATGTAGAATTGCCGACTCAGTGTCTCACATACAGAGAACTGTGTAATAGCTTCCCCTTCCTCTAATTTATTTTTAGTCAGAAAGCATCCCCAGCTTTAAAAATCAGAATGTACTAACCATCTGGTCTGAGACTTTTCTGAAATCCTGGCAAAATAAAGCTTTATAAAGTATCCTCTGACTCAATCAGTTACCCACATTGTATGACAGTGCCTCCCACTTAAAGCAAAAGGATTTAGGAGACAAAGGTAACCAAGGGCTATCACAGTTTGGCTGATCTACATTCTTAGCTTGAGAAATTACTATCTATTCAGGTTTGGGGCTGTCCAGAAGAGAGAACAGTCAGGTAGGTGGGCCTTTTGAACACATTATTCAGACAAGCCGAATGAGTTCAACAGATATTTATAAAGTGCCCGTTATATTTTGTTTATTGTCTGGGAAGAGGCATTCATAGGAAGATAACCTGAGTTGTATCCTCTAACCTAACAAATAGAGGAGATCAATAGGTACATAATAAGAGTTTAAAGTAGAAAAATGTCAGTGAGATTTAATGTAAATGAAGGAGAATATTAAATAACACATCTATACATTTGATTTATTTAAAAATTTAATGGTCAAATCCTGTTTGCCAGAGACTCCACTATCTCTCTTTTTTATCTATCTATCTCTCTATCTATCTCTCTATCTATTGATCTATCTATCCATCTATCTATCTATCCATCTATCTATCTATCCATC